AGATGTAAATTACCTACGGTTGGGTTGCTTGAATCTGGATTAACAATTGCAACACATCGAGTAACCTGGGTTGTATTGGGCTCATCGACCTATGGTGCAACGTTTCACAGTCCTCAATTTCCCTAAAACAAAAAACCCACAACGTATAAGAGGCAACAAAAGCTTTGAACCGAAAGCTTTCAATTTCCCTAATGATAATGGCTAAAAAACGAAAGGAGGACAGGCAAAAAGAGCCACAAAAGCTTTGTACCCGAAGTTTGCTGATCTAAGACGATGCAAAATAACAGTGTGCATGGGCTCCATTGGTATTACAATTTACCATGATGAGCTAAAATCCAATAGTACAAATTGGTATCATAATTGATGCTTCTGCTTACACAGAAAAATAAGTACTCTTTTTGTCTGATCTTCCCTGTCATTCCACTGTATAGCAAGTACAATGAGCATTTACCAGCGAATTAAGGGCTTGTTTGTGGCCTTTAATTTCAAAAAGTGATGTATGAAATAGTGATTGATTTTGAAATGTGAGATTAAAAAAGAAGATTTATTTATTTATGTGTAATATTATTTTAATGAAAAATGTGTGATTAACAATGAATACTGTAGAAAAAATAATGTAATAGAATAGTTGACAAATAAAAACTAAAAGTACATATTTACTAGGGTTCTTTAAGACCATTCAAATTTTAAATGGTATATTTTTCTTTTCAATTATAAAAAAAAAAAAAGTTGAACCCCAACTTTGAGGACTTTCATCGTCCTAACCCTAGAACTTTGTGAGGGAGATAAATCGCGAGATGTATTCCATCAAGTCAGGAAATAAAAACTGCCTGTATCTTTTTCTTGAGCAAGTGTATGGGGGTGCTTTCACAGACCATTTACAGATCACACACAATGGGAAAATAATGAAGGGTGGGTTAATTTTTTTTGGTAATATTTTACTCACATGGGGTGGATCCACTCCATGTGAGTATTATGTATCTTTCCTGTGAAAAATGATTCTGTACACAGAATAATTGCTTCTTCCTTTTTATTCGCATGTTAAGATTAAATGTTTTCGAAGTTTTGCGGTATTTATCAATACAAATTTGTCAAGAGAAATTTTCATTTTCACACATTCGTGCTCGGTGATCTACCCCATGTGAGTATTTAGTATCTTTCATATGAAAAATTATTCTGTACATACGAAATAATTGCTTCTTCCTTTTTATTCGCATGTTAAGATTAAATGTTTTCAAAGTTTTTACGGTGTTTATGAATACGAATTTGACAAGAGAAATTTTTATGTTCACACGTTCGTGCTATTGGGTCCTCACGGTCACGCACTAAGTTCATCCGCGCTTTTCACCAAATGTCTGATAAGCTTGTCACAAACACAATTACAGAAAACTAGATACAATGTCACGACAAATACATGGACATAGCTACCATTATAATTACATGCATTCAACTTGTGATAATACTGCTAGCCACTTGAGTAGGAGTAGAAAAGTTAGGCCATGTAACATAACTCTATTAGTGATTGACATGTTACACGAGAATAATTGTCTAAGTTCCTCAGCATTATGATTAATGAGACATGATGAGGTAAAATAATCAAATATTTACATTTTACAAAATTTCGATAAATTCCACAATATATTATTGGTGTGTTGACAGGCTAGTAGACAACCATTATTTATTTATTTTTATACGAGTATTGCATTCTATCCTATTAGAAATGGAGGACTATCTAATTCGAGTTTTATGAGTGTTGATGGATTTTGAAGTGTTTGTTAAATACTTTTCACCAATTTACAATGCTCGAGATACATTACATTTGCCCATCTTCTGAATTATCAGCACTTTTAATAATTTTAATACAATTAAGTTATTTTTAAAAATATTTTTTATCATACATTCTTCAAAACTATTATTTTTTACTTAAAAAATTTATCTCTTCAATAAATTGGAATTTTATGCCCTGACGAATGTTTAGACGTATGTGAGTGTTTCCTTCGAATTGTACATCTAAAAGAGAGTGCCTCGTAGAGTAACTCAATGAGATGTAAGTTCGTGCTTCTCGCGTGCATTTGTATCATTGGGCGAACTTCAATGCATAAACTTTTAACAGAATTTCAATTTTCAGCAAGTTGGGCAAAATAAGTTTTGCTATAAGTTTGAGGTTAATAAATAGTCTCGTTTAAGTCCATTATTGTTCCACGATAACTTCAACTTGTTTTAGCCTGAGAAGCACAATATTTATTGCTCTTTTGATGTATGAAACAAAAAATAAATCTAGAACAATATGAAAATTTTGGAATATTAGACTTCTCAAGAACAAATAATATCAAGAGTCATGCTGAGGAACCTGGTATGGATTCTACTGAACCCCTATAGAACACACACAAACATGGGTGGGATGGGGATCTTTGGAGTCATTTTTTAATGAGGTGGGTCCCGCATCATGTGAAGGGTCTGTAAAATATCTGTAGGAATGATCCTGTGCATCCATCAAGATCCTAATATCAAATAAGAAAGAAATCCAATTTGTTCGTAATTTATCTTATTCATTTCTACTAATTAATAACTTTAATAAATAAGAATTTTTTAATAAAAAGGTGAGTATCTGAGTAAAGCTTCGTTTGGTCCCCATTAAATTTCATTTCATTTTTTCTCTCTCCTATTTTCAACTACACAATTTTCTATAAAATAATATTACACGTAAATCGAAAAAAATTTCATTCTTTTTCAACCACTCAGTTTTCAAAAAAACATTATTCCTCCTATTACATTTTCAAAAAATGGGGGCAAACAGGGGGTAAATTTGTCCATCCACAATAATGGTATAACTTTAATAAATCTCTACTTTGCCTAATATTACTTTGTCGTCCCACTAAAGGAAAAATAATGGCAATAATGACCGTTTTCCTTAATACTAGGCTACATTATTTAGGAAAGGTCCTTAATACTTTAATTTTTGTAATGTCGTCTGTGCCTTGTATTAAATAAGAGAACCCTTAAATTTTAGGAAAGTTGCATAAAAGGTCCCTGATGCTTGTGTGCAAATGATCATTTTTTAAGTGTATAAATGGGTAAAGGGAATAAGTGCCCTTTTATTAAAATAGATATATATTTAATGGTAAGAATGAATGAATAAAAAGGACCTTTTTGCAAATCAATAGGTTGAGCAAGAGCGAGAGCGAGTGTCAAGAATGAAAAGTTAGAGATCTTTTTCACAAAGAATGGCACCTAAGGAATCATTGCGCCAAATTCCCTTTTTAATGACTTTGTTGATAAGGTAAATTTCAAGGTTATTAGACCCCTATTTGATTTAGTAAATTTTGATAAAAATTGATGAAATATATAATTGGAAAGTTTATAAAAGTCATGAATTTTATAAAATGTGTGGTTAAAAATAAATTTGATATAAAAAAAAAAAGACAGCTTTAGTAAGGGGTGAACATTCTCTTTTTTTGGGAATAGGTGGAATTGAACTAGAATCAAATAGAACTGATCGATTTGGCTTCGATTCTCAAACTAAATGGATCCATTTTAGTACAATGCAAAGAAAACATATCGATTCTCGATATTGCCTTGAGAACCTAAATTCCTCTTTCTTCATGGTGCATTGAACCAATATATACCAGAACTTTGAAAAGTATATCCCAAATTTATCCAGCATCGGAATTTTAATTTCCGAACACTTCTTTCTTTTACAACAAAACCTAATGGGTAGTCAAAATCAAAATCTAAATAATTTTCTAAATACTTTACAAATTCATATTTTTAATGCAACCCCAACAAACATATTTTTATTTAATTTTTTTTTTTAAGAACTCAAATTTATAGTTTGTTTTCAAAGTGATTGACCGTCAAAAATCAAGATACATGAGTATTATTAAAGATAATAAGGTCATAAATCCTAAATATATTTTTACATATATATTATTATGTGAACTTCTCAATAATTTATATTAAATCCAAATTTTACATTTTATGTTGTGTTCAATATGAAAAAATATTGCTTCGGAGATTAAGAAATAAAAACATTATGAAAAATTATAGCAGGAGTTCGTAATGGGTAGCTTGGGACATGAAATTTGTCTTTTCATAAAAGAAATTTCCTCATTTTTTAATAGAGAATACGTTATGATTGCCCTCTTTCCCTGTTTGACATCCTTAAAATTAAAAATATAATGTATAAATAAAGGTTGAAAATATTAAGAATATAGATTAAAGATTTTTTTGTATAAATTTAATAAATTCAGAACGTTGCCGCAATTTTCCAATATATTCAATGAGTGTCGTTTCGGTGTTTAAAATTTCAGTTTGATAAAAAAAGATTCAAGCCACTTGTCAATAGCCAATTGGAGATTACAGAAACGAGCACGAGGCTCGCACCCAGAGGATCCCTTCTCCCTATTTCCGTCCCCGTTACACAGTTAACCGACAAATTCACACATATACACACTGAACTTCTCAATAATTTATATTAAATCCAAATTTTACATTTTATGTTGTGTTCAATATGAAAAAATATTGCTTCGGAGATTAAGAAATAAAAACATTATGAAAAATTATAGCAGGAGTTCGTAATGGGTAGCTTGGGACATGAAATTTGTCTTTTCATAAAAGAAATTTCCTCATTTTTTAATAGAGAATACGTTATGATTGCCCTCTTTCCCTGTTTGACATCCTTAAAATTAAAAATATAATGTATAAATAAAGGTTGAAAATATTAAGAATATAGATTAAAGATTTTTTTGTATAAATTTAATAAATTCAGAACGTTGCCGCAATTTTCCAATATATTCAATGAGTGTCGTTTCGGTGTTTAAAATTTCAGTTTGATAAAAAAATTCAAGCCACTTGTCAATAGTCAATTGGAGATTACAGAAACGAGCACGAGGCTCGCACCCAGAGGATCCCTTCTCCCTATTTCCGTTCCCGTTGCACAGTCAACCGACAAATTCACACATATACACACAGTTATAGAAACACCTATACATACTACTCTGCTATATACATAATTTTTTATTCACAATTAAAAACTGAAAAAAGAGCTTCTACTCTACAAAAGTATCTGAAACGTTACCATGCCCAACACTAATTGCACCGAAATCTGTACCCTTTTCTCACACATACAAAAAATGCACTCTCTGTGTGAAAATATCGCAGAGATTGTGTCCTATGCTGTAATCTACTCTATATAGGGCTAGGATTTTTCATCTCAGTCATGCGACACCCTAGCTACAGGGTAGGTTTAGGGTTTTTTGGTGAAAATTTACTTCAAAACTGCTTAAATTTGCACTAGATTTGAATGGGGAACTGCTGTAGATCTCCGGCTGCTGTTGCCAGAGAAGATGTGAAGTCATCTAATTTTTCAGGGCACGATCACGCCCGTAAGGTGAAGTCCGGCGCCGGTAATAATAAAAAGGTCATCACGGTATTGAGTGATGTTGGGAAGGAAAATATTGAAGAGAAGTATTTAGTTGACAGGGAGCTTGGCCGTGGGGAATTTGGGGTTACTTATTTGTGCATTGACCGGGGTACGAGGGAGCTCTTGGCCTGCAAGTCGATATCGAAGAGGAAGCTGCGGACAGCCGTGGATGTGGATGATGTGAGGAGAGAGGTGGCGATAATGAAGCATTTGCCTAAGAATTCGAGCATTGTGAGCTTGAAGGAGGCGTGCGAGGACGAGAATGCTGTGCATTTGGTGATGGAGTTGTGTGAAGGCGGGGAACTGTTCGATAGGATTGTGGCACGGGGGCATTACACGGAACGGGCTGCAGCAGCAGTCACCAGGACGATTGTGGAGGTGGTGCAGCTTTGCCACAAGCATGGGGTGATACACAGGGACTTGAAGCCAGAAAATTTTTTATTCGCAAGTAAGAAAGAGAACTCGCCCCTCAAAGCAATTGATTTCGGCTTGTCAATCTTCTTCAAGCCAGGTAAATAATAGTTCTAGACTTGTAGTTGCTTTACTATTATATTTATTTTTTTTGGGGTGGGGGGGGGTTGGAATGTAGTTAACTATAAGAATTTATGTAATATTACCGCATCTCACAGAAAAGTAAAGAAGTTAACCGTTTAATTAATAGATGCATATGTCCTATGATGTATTATATGCACAAATGTCATGTTTGTTTGCAGATTTAGATATAAAATTATCTTTATTGATTTTATATGTGTAACCAGATGACTTTCAAGGGAAAAGAAGTGTAATGGATGATTATATACATGATGCTAGTTTCAAGTACCAGAAATAAGGGATGATAAGAGTAATTTAGTGACTACTAGTTGGCAAATACTATGATGATATACAAGATTCTCGTAACACCCGATGGGAACCCCTGGGATACATAGGCCGGGTTCACTGAGCTCTAGGAGTTTTGCCTGTATCACGCTAAACGTTTATTAGGACCTCGAGGCTTTTGCTTTCTGTGCCCTTTGTCAAGATCTGCACATTTGGAAGGGGAAGTTGGGTAGTTTGAATGAAGCTCGGAAAGTGTTGACTTTTAGCTCCAGTGGCCTTTAAATTAGAATAGGTCTTAAACTCCCTTTGGGGGCAGAAACGCTTCTGTTTCAGTGGCTCTTGGCTTGCTTGTTTTTTGTGAAACTCTTGCCAGAAAGGACGTGAAATAGGCTGGGCATTGTGATCATATGTTAGAATTCAAATAATAGTTGTACTTTCTTTTTTTTTTTTCTTTTTTTTTCTTTGAATTGATTTCTCACAACATTTCTTCAAATTGATTAATGCCCAAATATGTACTGTGTTGGAAACAACTATAAATTGAAATATTTGGGTAAAATTTATTTGTTCACCCTCTCTCGGCGTCACCTTTGTGTTCTAGGCATATATGTGGGTTGTTTCTCTTTATTATATATGTATGCATGCTGCATTTATGGGTTATGATGTCCCAATTTGAAATATTGCATTTTATCATACTGTTTATTTTCTTAGAATGTGGCAGGTATTGAAGTGTAGGAATTATGCATCAATATCATTTGATTAGCTGATCCTCTCTCAACATTGATATTGCCAATAATGTAATGCAAAAATAGAATTCAGTGAAGTGGATTTTTTTCCCTCATGGTTGACTCCCCTGGCATGAGTAAAGTCTGCTGGAAAATTGAAATCGTGCTAACCTTGCATTTGTTAGTAGTGGGCCACCAACTTACAGAAGTATTAGAAAGGGGTGAAAGGAACTAGCTCCCATATAGATACCTGAATCAATGGTATATACTCAACATTCCCGTGATTTTGATGCCTAGCTTCATCACCTCACCTGTGCTTGCATTGATGAGGATCCAGTGTTTTTCTCCCTCAAAGGAGGGTCGATTTTGAAACATTTATACTGCATAGGATGAGAGGATAATGTCATTTACTTCTTATACACTGAAATTCTGTAAGATTTGACGGGAAGCCTATGCTGTATTGAAATTCTAGGCAGAATTGAAGACAAAAATATGCAAGGACAATCCTATGAATAAGAATCTTACAGAACACTTGGTCTATACGCTGACAGATTATCTGATGGCTCCTTGTCCTTACTGCCTATATATCTATTTGTTACTTTGTAATATCTCTCATTTTTGCATACTTGATCCAAGGGTTCACAGTAATGGTTTTCCTCTGAAGTTCTGATTCTGAACTCTATTCTGATTTGTTATGATATTGTAAATTCGAACATGTTTCTTGTATTATATTGATGCTAAATTGTGATTATCTTGAAATTCTAGGTGAGAAGTTCTCTGAAATTGTGGGAAGCCCTTATTATATGGCTCCAGAGGTGCTCAAACGAAATTATGGCCCAGAAATAGATATATGGAGTGCAGGAGTGATACTCTATATTTTGCTATGTGGCGTTCCTCCATTTTGGGCTGGTAATTTGAATTCTTTATGTATACCCTCTTCCCCTATCTGCGTGCATGCTATTTCTAGATTGTTTGCATTTTATTTGTAATTTTATTTATTTGTTAATATTTCATGGGAGATCAAGATAGGCTTCTAGATTAGCTTCTCTCAATAATAAACACGTTCTTTCTGCTCAATTTTTTTTTCTCAATTCTCATGTGGATTTAGAAGTGCAAAAATGAGAAATCATTTTTCTGAAGGTAATTTTTTTCTCAGAATCTGAACAAGGTGTTGCCCAGGCCATTATACGTGGGAAAATAGACTTTGAGCGAGAACCCTGGCCTAGTATTTCAGAGAGTGCCAAAAATCTTGTACGACAAATGTTGGAGCCAGATCCTAAGCTTCGACTGACTGCAAAACAAGTTCTTGGTAAGTTAGCTTTCATTTCTCCTTTGTTCTTCGTTTAATGAATCTAGAAAATGCATTGTCAGCTAGATTGTATTAAATCTTTTTATTTTGGACAATTACCTTGTTTGAAACACTATCTCATGCTTTTGGTGAACAGATTTGGCAATCATTTTTTATTGTCCACCTGCTTTGCGAATATGAAAGTACATACTAATTATTAAAGCTTTCTATTTGAGTGATATATATTTTGATGTAATGGTTTAAAAGAGCAAAGTACAAACACCTTTCTTGATACGCTATCTCATCTTTTGTTGAACAGGAAATAATACTTATCCTTTTGACAATCATTTATTGTCTAGTTGCTTTGTGAGTGTAATTGTACATGGTAATTGTTAAGGCCTCATATTTGATTTAGATACATTTTGATGAAATGGTTTAAAAGTACAGTGCTGCTCATTTTATCACATAAATGATACTAAGGTTCCTTTTCTTTAACCAAAAAAGGGTATATTAACAAAAATGGTGTTTCAGAGGTTCCTTTCAGATTAGATTGATGGGGGAAGTTAGGGACCGTCAATCAGTTGTATCTTCTGGAAATGCTATTCACGTAGATTTTCTTGTCATTTGAGACGAGCGGAAAAACTTTCTGTTGTTTTTTAGTGTTTGTTTTGATGTTTCTTATGTTTCACTTAATGATTAACGGTTTCAATGTTCGCAGAACATCCTTGGCTCCAAAATGCAAAGAAGAATTCAAATGTTCCTCTGGGGGATGTTGTCAAGTCGAGACTCAAGCAGTTCTCATTGATGAATAGGTTCAAGAAGAAGGCTCTGAGGGTTAGTTGCTGAATATATATTTTTCAAGCTTTTCCCAATTAGTTTGTTTCAGGAAACACTAAAGTTCTTGTTTATTCTATTAGGTCATTGCTGATTTCTTCTCTAATGAAGAAGTTGAAGGCATCAAAGAGATGTTTACAAAGATAGACACTGATAATGATGGCGTTGTGTCAACTGAAGAACTAAAGGCTGGATTGCAGAAGTTCAATTCACAGATGGCAGAGTCTGAAATACAGATGCTTATCGAAGCTGTAAGTCTACCACCTGAACTATCCAACCATAGAACACTTGCATTTTTTTATTCCATTAACAAGTTTGCCTTTTGACTTAAATGATTAGTAAAGAGTTTGTTTAATATATGCTTTAGGGTTCATATAATTTATATAGGCACGATATCATTCTACTCTTCATCAAGGTAGGGGAAATAAGTCAATAACATCATTGCTGAAAATTGATCTAGTTTTCTTTTATGATGTTTTGGGAGTTTAATAAGAGGAAAGAATGATTGGGAGAATGAGCAGAAGTGAAAGGTAGTGAAATAAGAGAAGGCAAAGAATTTTGTTAATTGTGAGTTTCGGCCTTGTTCGTGGAAGAGGGTGGGATTGAGTTAGCAGTTCTTCTCTTTTGATTGAAATAAAATGTTAAAAAAAGAATAGAAGTGATTTCATTTTATATTTTATGAAAGCAAGGATGGATTGAATCTCGATAAATCTAAGGCACTAGCTGATGGTTATTAGCTTGCTGTAATATCTTATAAATCTTCCCACTTTTAGAGGGAAAAAAAGAGTTTTGGTGGGATTCCTCCCCACCCTTCAATATTCTTTGTGAAAGAATACTCACCCCTCCATTAATACGATATTGATTTGCCTTTTAATCCCTCCAATCTTATTTTGCAGCTGATTTTTATATTTAATTATATATCTATGCTGATAGTCAGAATCCACTTCCTAAAGATCTTACTTGCATATGTACTTACGTATGGAATGTGTCTGGTAGATGCTAATGTAACAGTATTTACTTGGGTAATATTTTGATTCTTCTTAGCCTCGGCAATAAGCTACTCTTGACGTTTATCTTCCTCAATTTTAAAGATTTTGATTAATTAGAAAAGGAATTGTGGATTTTGATCTCCTCTTAACCAAAAGAATATATGAAGTTTAATTGGAAGAAAATGGTGAAATATCAATCTCTGTACATGCTTTGACCTGTACAGTTTAACTCAAATTACCACTTCACTTTGCTGTCTCATATGAACACGTGTATACCCCTCATGTGGACTTCTAAGTACAGACTTGTGCATATGTAGATGATATCCGTCCTCATTTTGAAACTATTTGCATAGTAACCTTCTTATACTTTGCCAAATACTTGAAAATTAAAATATAAAGTATTGATCCAAAACTAAATTATGGATATCAAGTTTTAAAATCCAATTGAAACTCCATTTTGTTTGTTGGAGAGGGTTTTGAAATGGGATATCAAATATATTGGGTTAATGATAAAAGTGGAGTCGTTTATTGTGTGTTGAGATGGAATTCAGTAACACAACCAGCAAGGCCTGTTGTTTTTCGCTGACATCCTCACATGCAAACACCCATTTTCTAATATCATGCTGCCAGTAAAATGCCTGTTCTAAGAAAACTATGGATGGGAGAATTTGTGGTGTGTCAAAAGTGGTTGCAAGGGAGACCTTTATATTTTGATCCTTCCATCTCCCCACCACACATACAAATTAAAGAAAAAGATGAAAATCTTAATGCTACAATGGAATGGAAGAAGGGGGATCGATTTTTCCCTTGGGTTGCCTGTGGTATTGGAAAGGAACAGAAAGTGTGCCGCCTTGACCACCAAAGCTCCACTGGTTTCATAGCAGTGGTTTATAAATTGCTTTGGCAAGTGCAAGGAGAGATCTATAGATGTGATGTTTGATTTCTTCAAAATGGAGAAATTTTTCTTTGCCTTGAGCAGAATTGCAAAATAGTTTTAAAATTTAAGGTTATGCTTCTCAAAGATTTCCATCTTTCTGGAACAAGTTTACTATAAACTGATTGGAAATGCATGCCTGGATCTGATGCCAAACCTACAAAGGAAGCTGAGATCTGCATCTGGTTGGAACTTTAATCATATTATCTGAATTTGATTTAGATAATAGTTAAATTTGAATCCGAGTTTGACTTAAAAATTTTGAAATTCGTTAATAAACTACTGAAAGTTTACTAGGCTTACATATGCTTGGACATGGGTTTGAGGCCGAATGTGAGTTTGAATTGAAAAACTATTATCGTCACGAATGAGCAACTGTTTTGTTTTAGACCTTGCGAGAAACAAAGTTTGTGGCTTTATTCAAGGAATCCATGCTTTAACCTGATCCATTAACTGCTCGAGTTTCATTATTCTGGGTCTTTGTTGGATGAGAAACGGAGAAATTTCTGCTTGAACAAACCTTTAATCTTTAGATGTGAAAGGGTAGCCAAGTATTGGTAACCCATCCTTCCCTCTTTCATGGAAGAGAGGGGAGAGAGAGGAGAGGAAATCTTTGCTTAGAATGCTTTCTTTTCTTTTGATGCCATCTCTCATTCTCCCAAATGTGAAAATTCTTTGTTGCTTCCAGGTTGACACAAATGGTAAAGGAACCTTGGAATATGGAGAATTTCTTGCCATTTCTCTCCATCTGCAGAGAATGGCCAATGATGAACATCTTCACAAAGCATTTTCCTATTTTGACAAGGATCATAATGGCTACATTGAGCCTGATGAGCTTCGAGATGCCTTGATGGAAGATGGTGTAGATGATTGTACATATGTTGCAAATGACATTTTCCAGGAGGTTGACACAGACAAGGTATGAAACAAATCTTCTTGATTGATGTGAAATACTATATGAATTTTCTCTCACTTTATTCTCATAATGAGTACAGGATGGACGTATTAGCTATGATGAATTCGTGGCCATGATGAAAACGGGAACGGATTGGAGAAAGGCATCTCGACATTACTCGAGAGGGAGATTCAATAGTTTGAGCATAAAATTGGTGAAAGATGGTTCTATTAACTTGGGTGAGTAAATATACACAAATGAACCGTTGCATTCATCTGTATAAAGTACGGAGTTGCGCATGCATATCATGCTTCTTTTCATTATTTGCGGGGTTCCTTATGTCAGATGGGGTTCCAATTGGTTGGTGGGCTTATAAGGATTTTGGAAGAGGGAAAGTGCATCTGATTAGCCTCTTGAAAATGTTGATTTAGTAGGACAGTCTTGTAGCCCTCTGTATGCCACACACGTTCAATCCTTTTTCTCTCGTCTCGGTCAACATCTCGAATTGTTTCTTTTTTGGACTAGTTGAAATTGGAAATTTATTGCTCCATTATATATTTTTGTGAGGAAGAACTCACCTTAAAGCGCATTATCAGATTGTGAATGATATATATTTGTCTTCCTATTTGTGATTTCTTCTTTCCCTCTCTTCCATCCCAAGTTCTTAGAGCAGACCCTAGTGGATCGCTACATGCCTTGCGTTTTTGTGTTCACTTATTGTTGAGAAGAAATGTGTACCATGCTGTCCTTTAATGCTTGGTGGTTGATTTTTATGAGATTTATTTGGTGCATGTTTGGTTTGTGGTAGACGAGGAGCTGTTAAATGCAATCTATATTTTTTTCGAAGTAATGTTATTCAGCATCAGTGATGTCGAGCATTAGTTTAGGTGGTAACTGTAGTAACTGTATGATATTAAATGATATGTTCACTTAAATATAATGTTACGTGCTTCATTTAATTAAATTTATCAAGTGTGCTGGTGTGGCCACCTAGATTGGCGTTTTAACATTACTAGTGTTAGATACCATTATTTTTATTTTTAACATTAATAATTTGTATGTTTCCATTACTTCAACAATTGGTTCATTCCTCTTATAACAACCTACGTTGATCTTGACCTTCTACTGCCATTTCCTTCCTGTGGTGGGGGCAAGGTGGAGGAGATTAGGAGAAGGGGGTGGAAGTGAAGCTGGAATGGGTGGCAAGTGCGAAGAATTCTAGACAAAATTAATAAATATTGTTAAGAGTAAATTTTTTGTTGAAAGATTGAATTGAGGGGGTGTGAGTCCTATTTTTAGAATATAGTGTATATTTAAAAAGCTTCTTTATATTTTTTATCTACATATATAACAAAAAGTTTTTTTGAATATGATTCCCATTTGGGGGGAAATAATGTATTTTGAACAATAGATTGATAGATAATGTGGTTAAAAATTAAAGAAAATATTTGAATTTGCATATAATATTATTTTATTGAAAAATGTATGATTGAAAATAAAATTTGAAAAAATAAATTTTTAAAAGAATGGGAATCTAACAAGGGCAATTAACCTTGAATTTGTCATTCGGCCCACATTAAAAGCACGTGGAATTGAGCATTTTTCTAGTTCAATAAATGAAAATTCTTATATTGGGTTATTCATGTCTTGTATGTCAACGTCTTTAATAGTACTTCTCATGTTGTCTTGTATTGTTTTCAAATAATATCATTTTCATATGAGATATTTATCAAATTTTGATGACTATAATAACATGATGATTTGAAAAATAGCTTTTGTTGATACTTTAGAGTGTCTTATAAATATGAGAGTATTATTTCGAGGGTAAATGTTTTTTAGGTTATAAGCATTCACTAAATAGAGAATGTCTAGTTTAAACTTTATTAAGAAAAATTTTCTGAGAAAAATCCTAATAAAGGAGAGTATATTATTTTTTTAAGTATGCTACAAAAGTTGCCACCTTAAAACCGCGTCAGAAAAGTCCAATGGAACCAAACCTTGGTCAAGAAAAAAAGAGTATAATGCGTATTTACTATTCTTCATAATAATATCAATGGAATTACATTTTAGGCATATTAAATCTTTTGAGGATAGTAATAAATCTATATAAGATAATTATAATAACATTAGAATAACAAGATAGAGATTTGTGATTATATTTACAACATGATAACTTATCTATTTATTTAAGTTTTCTTCAAATTCATTATGTAAAGAGTTGTACAATTCATATTACGACTTTACTCTTCCCATTTTCATTTCATTTAAGTATACAATTTTAGGTATTCAAACTGTAATTTCAGAAACTTGATGAAAAATTCAGATCCTGACCATGAGTTAATTATAATATGGAAAATTTGATATTGACATTATGCATAATAGCATTCCCTGAATAGAAATGGGAATTATTTTGCTTTAATATTAATTATTAAGCTGATTAAATGTGTTTATGAAAAAATAGTGCTAAAATATTTATTAGTATCCCAACTAAAATTTATTAAAATGTTGAAATTTAAACTCACTAGTATTAACATGAAACATCATTTTGATTGTATAATTTGAAAATTATGCTTATAGTTTAAGTTTTGAGCATAAATTTCACAAACTTTAGAATACGAGCAACGTGTAATCATAAAGTATATGTATCAAATTTATTAGATATAGATAATATTTAGATGGTCAACATGAAGGATGATGAGGTCACATATATTACCATAATTAATTTTTAGAAGCATAGGAATTCAGTCTCTATTTAGCTAGTAACGATTAATGACAATTGCAAAAAAGAGAACAAATATTATGTAGGGTTTCATTGAGTTGAAGAATTTTCTGATTCTTCATTAAATATTCATTTGTATTCTCCCCTTGCATCAATATTATCTAGTGATGGTCTAATTCGACGTATCAAACAATAATTCATTTAGTAGTTGAACTTCTAGTTCAATACATTACGCTATTGTATAGTATCAATTAATAATAGATATTTTAGAAATTTAATATGTTCAATTTTATAGCACAAATTATTAGCAACAATAATATGTGCTATGTATAATATAAAATTAGCTCTTCTGGAGCTTTCAATCAAATCTACAAATTTTGACTATATATATATATATATATATATATATATATATTATCACTATCATTTTTGTCTTTCTACGGCTTTCTGGCAAATTTAATTAGAGAGTTGATGTACGTTATATACTAACAATGATTGAAAAAATGTTCTATTGTCATTTTCTTTATAGAGAAATTCTAAATAATTTTCTAACTATATAACACAAATTAAAAATGAACTATTTAACGACATCCATATAGTATGTTCACAATATTTATTAAGAATTAACTCTAATAGCCAATCGATATTTAAATCAATGATGCCAAATAGTTCAAAGAAATTTAGATATTTAAATGAATCGCATCTAAATTTAACAATTAAATTTAAAATTTTAATTTTGAGCAAAATTCAATGATACAAATAGCATGCTTTTAATATTCAAACTGAATAACTTAGATTCAAATCTTTTGACTTTAAGAGCCTGTTTGAGAGTAATTTTGAGAATTGATTTTTTGATCGTTAGGAGAAAAGTGGGGTCCACCTGTGAGAGAAGAAGTTAAATATAACGGCTGAAATAGTGAAATAACGATCAAAAAATCA